AGGTCAAAACTATAATAATAAACGGTTAGACAATTATGCTATAAAATTTTAAACAAATATGGATCGAAGAAGCCAAAATCTATCAAACATATAGTTTATTATTACTTTGAAATTTAAACCATACACATAACGTGATACCACTCGTTAGTAAAAATGACATATGAAATACTTTACATCAAAGGTGGCATTTGAAAATTGGCAGAAATTGATTAAACACGATACTTATTTAAAAACGGAGGGCCGGGTACCATCAGCAACATCCTACAATGGGAGAGGACAAACTAGCATCCAGTTGAGGAGGAAATCAGGAAAAGACTTTGGATGTGGAATGGACAAACATTACAAAAATCACCAAACTGCGCCACGAGGCAAGTCCAAACTTGTAATCCTGAAGGGATGAGGAAAAGAGGGAGACAGAAGAACCCACTGCTTCGAGAATTGGAAGCAGACACGAAAAGGGTAAATAGCAATTGGAAAGAACTGGGAAAAATTGCCCAGGACAGGGTTGAATGGAGAGGGCTGGTGCATGGCCTATGCTCCTCAGCGAGGGGTAACAGGAGGAAGGAAGGAACAAAGAATACCAAATGGCAGTAGGAATCGATATCCATAAATCTAATCAGGCATAAAAATCCTGTGAAGATACACTTTTCTATGTTTAATATTAAATAGATGCTGCTTAAAGTTCCATTATTAGTGTTCAGGTTTTTTATCTAGTGATGGGGTATATAAGAAAATGTCGTATTTTAATTCATTCGCAAAAACTCAAGAAAATACATCTTTATTCTTTCAAGACCACAAATCAATCACACAAATTGTAAACGTTAAGCAAACTTATTATATTGAAAACAATTTTGATACAATTCAGTGAGGCACAAAATATTTTCAACGTAGATAGATTTCATTTCACTTATGTGAACTGAATTCTAACAAAACTATTGTACATATAGTTTTTCCAAGCACACTAGAATCACGACTGTACGAACTACCAAAGTCTTGGTTCAATAAATGATCTCCCTCATTTTTAAAGAGTAAATATAAACAATCAGTTAAAACAAGTACACAATGATCTTTAGAGTTTGTCATACAAAAAAGAATGGAGAAACTAACAGTTATGACTGATGTTTAATTACATCTTTATTTTTCTTGATACAGTAAACATACAACATTTGAAATTGTTCATAAGTTATTAAATAATTACAAACTGTATAATCATCATTCCATCACAACTTTAATTCTTACCATTGTTAATAATTAATTTCACATCATATATGTGATAAACAGTGTTTCTGAGAAATTTGAACACCGATCTAACCAACATAAAAAGGTTTTTAAAGAGGAATCATTTCTTTTCACCATTAACACATTTAATTAACATGGTGAAATATTAATTTTTCTCTATGATTTATAAATTTCAGATGTAATAAAAGTCTACATATAAAACAGTTTCACAAATATCATATAATTATAATTGAACACAATCATATTTAAAATAAATTTAATTTCAGAAGGGGTTTTGTGGATATTATAATAATTTTAACACTTGAGATCATAAATCAAATGAAGCTAGACCACTATGGAAAACCCGAAAGCATTGGACGGCCGTTTCGTCTTATTGTGGGACTCAGCAGTACGCATCCACGATCCCTTCTTGCGAGGTTCGAACCCAGGACCTATCAGTTTCGCGCGCGAGCGCCTAACCATCAGACCATTGAGCTAGCCCCCAAATACCCTGGTACGGTCGAGAGTGGGAAGAGTCACCTCTCCCTCTCGAATATATAGCCTCTGCCAGGAAACTCCTACTCACTGCCTTCTCGTGGCGGGGGTGTTGTTTACGAAAGTGAGAGGAAGAAAAGTGAATGTCCGGAGCTTTAACCGGGTCGGTGGACAAGGCGATTCCACCTAGGGGAATTAGAAAACCCTGATTCCAAGCTCATGGTGCACATGGGCTCCAGTATCCTGAGGGAACGAATGGCGTATGAACCTATTGTTGGTCACCGACTACCATGGGACTGCATCTCACAATGCTCCACTGCCTTGTGGATCAGATCTTTCGGTCAGAGGCTCCGGGTGTGGGCCCCTAAGGAAACCACCTGCTTCTGTTTGGGCACCTAGGCAGTTTCACAGCCCTCAAGCAAATCAAATGAGATTTTTATGGCGCATATGTATCTGGGGCTTCCTTGTACCAATATTTATATGTTTAAATAAATAAATAATAAGCCGGCATCCAACAGTGTTAATGTTTAACTTCAACCGATCCACAAAATTGAGTGATACATCCACCAATGTCTTCAGTGAATTACTATCTCACAACAGACCTGGTTGAACTCCACTGGTTAGTGCTTCTCATTAGGACTCCAGGAAATACCTCTTGGAGCTAGTCCCTAGTGAACATATGATCATTATGATAAGGGGGTTTTGTGTAGATTTTAGAATAATACATTCGAACATTATTTATTACATATTAGTGAAATTATTAATTCATTACTTTTTATAAGCGAGGAAAACAATGATAAATAATCTTTCAGATATACACTAAAGTTGTATCTAATATTTGTTAAACGGATTTAATAATAATAATAATAATATATTCTGAAAATAATGTTTACAGAATTCACACCAGTTTACAGGCATGATCAGATTGTTATAAAAATCAACATTTAATGTAGAGAGCAAACATGAAATATAAGAAAGTTTTATGTTTGCTGGTTTGCTAATTGATAAATAGTTTATATATGGGAGGCCAATGCAACACCAGGGAACTTGTCATTTTTTCTTAAGTGGATAGCCTGATGTTCTGTAAGGTTATTTCTAGTGCCAAAGCAAGTTATTGATAATTATCTACAACTAGAGAAAGTAAGATTAAAGCAAAGAGCACGGAACAACAAAACAATGATAGCAAGTAAGAGGTTAAACATTTAAAGTTCCGATAATCTCACTTGTGGAGTAAGATACACTTGCAGGCGCTAGAGCATTTAATGCATTTTCAGAGGAGCAAAAGGTATTGATTGAGCGAACAAACAATTGGAGAGAGTTTAACATAAGGGTAGTTTGAGGTAAACTATTCCAGAGCCTAGAAAACTTACAGGCAAAGTAATTCATATAGAGGGAAGATCTAGAATATGTTTGTTTCGCTAAAGACAAGGAGTTGCGAATGTCGTAATGTGAGGCTTTAGCGTATTGAATCGCCTGGCTGGATGTGAAGGAGAGTTTGTTAAGTATTTTGAAAAAGAAGATAAGGTTAAGTTTGAGTCTCCTCTTCCATAAAGGGTCAAGCCCTAGTTTACTACACCTCGAATTATATGTCAAGACACTATCAGTTCCAAGAGTACGAAGTGTAAATCGTCTCTGTACTGATTCCAGTCTTAATTTATCCTTTATGCGCGTGCTACTAAGCAGAAACGCGCAGTATTCAAGGAGTGGTCGAACACAGACTTTGTACATTAATATACGAGATTCGCTGTTATGAAGGTTTCGAGTTATGTAACCTATAAAGCGTTGAGACTTGGACGTTTGTTTCATTATCTGTTCAGTAAACGACAAGTCGTCCTAGATCTACTACTGAGTGTAACCTAGATAAGATTTCACCATTTATGATAAGATTGAGGTTGAGTGATGTATCACCGAAGCATAGCCAACCACATTTAGCTGTATTAAGCTCCAGTTGCCATTTCGAGCACCACTGTGCTACATTGTTAAGCTCCGAGCTGATACAATTTTGAATATTGCTCAGCTCATGTGGAGAAAATGAATACACCACCTTAAGATCGTCTGCAAACAAAAGGGACTTACCTACACTAAAACACTCACAAATATCATTAGTGAAAACTAAAAAGAGCAATAAGCGCAAAAAGAACAATAAATCAATTTATAAAAATTCTCCTAACATGACTGGATGGTTTGAATTCACAATGGGCTTTTCTTTTCTCTTTTACAATTTAAACAACAATTTTATATAATTAAATAGTCTGAAAATTCTATTTACTATATAAACAAGTTTTAATTATTCATCTTCTTTTTTAAAATAATTATTATCTACCATAAAGATAAAGAACATATGAATATACACTTAAATTTTAAATATACTACTTATATTTATTAGATTGCAATTCTGAATTATTATTCCTGTTCATTGATCTTACATTCTTTGATGTTAAATAATTTATTTGGTTATATATTCCGTTTCTCCCTAAACAAAGTTAATATGAGAAAGTAGATAAAAATTATTAAAATTACAGCTTATACTTATTAAATTTCTTTTTTTCATCTCAGTAGCACTTATTATTTAATAGTTTGTACAAAGATATAAACTATAAGCGAAGATGGATAGTGGCTAGCAGTGGAATCCAGCAGGCGCGTCTCGACCTATTTGGGACTCGTCAGCTGGATTTACCTGCATCTCAGAGTTGATGTTCAATCTGGGACTCGAATTCAGTACTTTTCGCCTCAAACGCCATCGCGTTATCCAGGGTGAACATTAACTCTGAGTCCCAAATAGGTCGAGACGCGCCTGCTGGATTCCACTGCTGGCCACTATCCATCTTAGCTTATAACTAATTTCTTTCTTATATAAACAGTTGAAAAAAAGTTTCATGTTAAATTATACTAGATTCTTTTATCATGTTTTTATTCGTTTTATATACTATGAGTGCTTATAACGTGTCAATAAAGTCATAAAAATTTATCGGTTACAACGAATATAATGTCCACTATGTATTTACATTCTGCTTACTTATAATTAAAAAAGTCATGATATCATTATAATGATGATAATGATTACAGCATTCATTTTATATTTGAAAAACAATCATAGTTGCAAGTATCAATTAAGTTTTATCTATAATGATTGTTTTAATGTTCAATCAAAGTATTCATCATAAATTATATATATATATATATATATATATATATATATATATATATATATATATATATATATATATATATATCAAAACAATTAAATATTTCAATCCTAATAACTGAAACATTTAGATAATTAATAGGATCAATTTGTTTTTGTTTTAATTATCAAGAGATCAACAGTTGTGTTTAGATCTATAAAAAAACAAAAGAATTTCAGTTAAACAATATGTGAATTGTACTCCATGTAACATTTATTGCTAATTTAAGTATCGTAGGGATGCAATCTGGTTCACAAAAAATTACACTAATCTATCCTAAATAGGATTTTAAAGATCTACTCGAATTTTGGTGACTACTTAAATATATTTAACAATCTACAATTTTCTTCAGATTTGTCTAGTTGTTCTCTCTTGAAAAAACTCACTGTAGAATTAATCAAAGTACTAAAGTCTTTGACTATTGATCTTCTATTTAAGTTACATTAAAGCGCATGGATAAAATAGTCTTGTACTTGAAGGCATAAATGAAGTATATGATATTCTAAACAATTCAGAAGTACATATGAAAATATATGATATGTGTATGGTATGGGTTACTTATATCCACATAAGTAGTATATGACGATGGTCAGGCATAGAATGTATTTCAGTAGAAGATCGATAAGGAACGAACGGAAACGAAATGCAATTGGTATGAAACTGCATGAACAATAATAGTCGGAGACTATGGACTGATATTTAAAGAAGTTGTCAAGATTGAAACAATTGATTGATAGTTTGCAAATTAACTATTTACTTTATGATTGTCAGGTTTTGGTGAGACATTCTGTAATTTTCGTAACAAATAAATTGGATTGTCCCTACCTGCCTTCTTGTTCATTACATGTGTTTTACATTCTTATTAGAAAAAAAACCACCATATAACGGTGTTTACTTTAACGTTAGACTTAGCATGTGATAAACAAATCCATAGAATTATTCGACAACTCAGTGGTTGGAAATTAAACTTTTAATAACTTCAAACTTAATCTGTTCTCTTTCTAAAGCGGCATGAAACTACGATCTTTCTTTGTTAGAACAGCATTTATGTGACAATCATTTTATCTGTATTCTCACTTACTTTTACAATTAAATTACGTAAGGTTTAAGAATAATATACCTTTTAATTAATAAAATGTTAGGGCTAAATTACTTCAACTAGAATTGTGTTTTAGATAAAACTAACTTAATAACTGAAAGATAATTAACTGAATCAAATGATTAAGTAATAGGTGTAATTTCTTTTGGTAAGGTTAACAAATATTCATTCTAATTAAATGGATCGGAATTAAAACGCTTAATATCAATAACTAAGAAATGAAGTAAACGTAGTATTCATTATCGTTTCAAATACTTTAAGGATATTCACTTTATGTACACTGATTCACTTGTCGTAATTAATTTAAGATAGAATGAGTTAATTCTATTCTATAACTTTTGATTGTTCTTACGTTTATCAAAACTCCATAATCTGTTTATTTAAGGACTTTTTGTTTACTTAAACTGTATTCCAAGTAATAACTGCATTTTCGTGTGAGGATAACCTTACTCGCTTCAATGCTTTATAAAAATGCAATACTTAGCATTTCTGAGCATTTTTCTGTCCATTTATTGTATTAAGGCTGTATAAAGAAGTATAATTTTCACGAGGAACTTCACTTTAATCGTCTGAAGCTACATAACTGTCTTGTGTGAAGGTGATACTGTAGCCAACAAAAAGCAAATAAAGTGAAAGTTAGAGCTCAAAATGGAATTCCCAGAGAAAATTGCGCTCTAGTATGCAACACTAACTCACTAAATGCACGGTAAAAATCTAAATATTCCACACATATTGAATACATATTTTACAAATTCACGGACATGTATTCTGTCATGTTTTTTCATAGTTTACATCACAAGTCGCTTTTAGTTACATTACCTTTGAAAACCAGGATGTATTTTCTATCTGTTTCGTCCTATAATGGGATCCCTTAGCACCTCATATACAAGGACTTAAAGAGAATCAAACCCATGGCATTTGATTTTGTTGCTAGCTTTTGACCCCTAAACCACAGTTTGACTGCCCGTTATTTAAAATTCCACGGTTTTTATTAAAACTATCTAACGAATATATAGATTGTTCTTTTACAAATTTCAGATATTAATAGTCCAGTCGACAAACACTAAGACAAAGAATGACGAATCTACCCTACATTCTGATTTCTCTTTTTGTTTATATAAAACCCGTATACTTATTACTAACTGCTCAATTTACCATATTAGAAGAACTACCGATAAAGACCATTATTGGCAATTTAACATCGAAAATACCTGCTGCACTTCAATTGGATATACAACAACTTCGTTTCCGTATTATCACCAGTGAATATTCAAGATATTTTTCTGTTAATGTAACAACTGGTCTAATACAAATCAATCAACGATTAGATCATGAGAACATTTGTCCAAAAACATTATTCCATACCAATTCTAATATTGATGATGCTGTCACAAATTCCGATTCACTATGTCAGATCACATTGAATGCCAATATTTTACGAGTTATGAATTCCGGTGTCGATATATTTGAAGTAATACATTTGATTATTACAATTAAAGACATAGATGATAATGTTTGTGAATTTCTACCAGCGAATAAACAAGAAATTTATGTGATGGAAGGTTTACTAGACCAAACAAACATGGTAAAAGTACCTATTAATCAATTGGTAGACTTAGATACAGGACCTGGAAATGGGATTCATCGATCTAGTATTAAATTGAAACTTGATCAAAAGTCTAATGTTTCTTTGAATGAAATTTTTGAGTTGAAGATAACAAATACTAGTTCTAAAGTTTCCCCATACGCCCTCTCTCTACTTATCAAACAGTCGCTAGATTACGAGAGCATTCAAGAATTCAGAATGACTATTGTTGCTAGCAGTTCAACGGAGAAGGCAAAATCAACAATTTCGACTGGCGACTTTATCGGTTATCCTGAAGATTTAAACGCAGAAAAAAATGAATGTTTCTTAAATATTATTGTACACGTTATCGATGTGAATGATCATTCACCAACATTTCTTCAAAAAAATGTACATCTGTCTATTTTGGAGAATACTGAAACAAATAAGCCAATATATACACCAGAAGCACGCGATTTAGATGCGGGTCCTATACACAGTCAACTAATATTTGAATTAGGCTTTAGAAATTCACCTTATATCGGTTCACACTTCTATATAAATCCTCAAAACGGTTCGTTATTTTTAAAACAAACCTTAGATTATAAAGAAATGCCAAAACTGAATATTTTAATCATGGTGAGAAATCCAAGAACTGAAGAAATTGATGATAAAACTATGAATAATAATTTAACTCATGAATTGTTCGACAGACACTACTATTATAAGTCTTTAGTAAGTGATATGGACTCAAGTATGATAGACAATTTACTACATGATACAATGGAATTGTTCATACAAGTTATTGATGTAAATAATCATAAACCTGTCATTTCTGCATATACACCAAATGGTAGCCATGAATTGATAATACAAGAACATTTACCAGTTTCAATATTCCCAGTCGATTTTGCTTTGGTCAGTGTTACTGATGATGATAGTGGACGTAATGGTCAGGTTAAATGTGAACTAGATAGAAATTCATCTGATCTTTTTAAATTAACATTAATTGGTTATGAGTCCAGTGGTGATAAACTGGTGGCTGATAACTATAATAAGGATCAGTTATCTGACTTACAAACTAATGATTTAATTATTTATAAAATGTCAGTAATTGTCTCATTTGATCGTGAAAAAAATGCTACAGTCTATGCAACGATCAGATGTACGGATCTAGGAAACAATCCATTGATTACAGAATATGTAGCACAAATACATATAGCAGATATTAATGATAATGAACCAAGATTTCCACAAACTAATGAATACATAAAAGTAATGGAAGACAGTGATCCTTTAAGGGCTGAAGTCAATTATTACGTTATGCAAGTGATTGCAACTGATGCAGACAGTGGTAAAAATGCAGAAATCATTTATTATATTGCAGAAGAATCTGTTCAAAATATTATACAAATTAATCAAACTAATGGTATCATACAAACAACTGGTCAATTAGATAGAGAAATGAATACTTCATTAAATTTCACTGTTATTGCTAAAGATTTAGGTGAAATAAGTCAATCAAGTTCAGTATATATTCATCTAACTATACAAGATTATAATGATGAATATCCTGAATTTGATAAAAAAATATATGAATTCTCTATTCATGAAAATTCTATACAAGGTTATTATATTGATACTATTAATGTAATAGATAAAGATATAGATATCAATAGTCAATTAACATTTTATCTTAATTATGAAAAAGATGAAAATGTTAATTATTTAAATAAGGATTATTCTTATTATTCTAATAAATTACGATTTTCATCATTTAAAAAAATTATCCCATTTAAAATTACATCAAAACGTTTAAATAATCAACATAATTATGAATTAAATTTATATATTAATGGTAAAATAGATCGTGAAGAATTGATAAGATTCAATCAACGTAAATTAAAAACAATCGACTATGCATATTTGAATATTAATAATAATAATAATAATAATAATAATAATAATAATAATAATAATAATGAATTATCACGTTATAAACTATTGTTAACAGCAGAAGATTCTGGAATACCTAAACGAATTGCTACAGTACTTATTTATATTAATGTGATAGATGTAAATGATGAAGCACCAATTTTCATGAATCCAATTCAAGATGATATAATTTACACAATTTCAATGAATGAAATACCAGGTTATCAAATTATAAAGGTAATTGTCTTTTTTTTCTGGTCATTAAAAGAATCATGTATATAAATGGAAGTTACTTAATACTACTTTTATGTGTAGAACTTGTGATCAATAAATTTTCTGGATCAAAACTTATCTGACATATGTTTTAATCAATTGGAAAAGGAAACATTCTGATTTTAAGTACATATAATAACTTTAAAAAACTTTCAATTTACAGATCTATTAGCCTATATATATATATATAATCTCAACTATATAAAATTACTAAAATCTCCACAAAACCCCCTTCTGAAAATGATATCACTTTGACGTTCACCCCCAAAGGCCCTGGTACGGCCGAGAGTGGTAAGGGGCCGTCCGCCCTCTTGAAATAGTCTCACACGGACACACGTATACAACCTCTGCCAGCGGAGTCCCTACTCATTGCCTTTTTATGGCGATGGTGTTGCTTACGAAATTGAGAGGACGAAAAGTGAATGTCTGGTGCTTTAACCGAATCGGTAGACATGAAAATTTCACCTAGAGGAATTGGAAAACCCTGATTCCAAGCCCATGGTGCACATGGGCTCCAGTATCCTGAGAGAACAAATGGCGTATGAATCAATCGTTGGTCACCGACTACCATGGGACTGCATCTCCTCACAATGCTCCACTGCCTTGTGGATTAGACCTTTAGATCAAAGGCTCCGGGTGTGGCCTCCTAAGAAAACCACCTGCTTCAGTTTGGGCACCTGGGCAGTATCACAGCCCTAACACAAATCAAATGAGATTTTTGTGGCGCATATGTATCTGGTGCATATGTATCTGGTTTAAATAAATAAATACTTTAGCATTCAAGGCCGGAATCCGTAAATACTTACATTAAGTTTGTATACTTATATAAGTTATTTGGACAAATTACGTTTCCCATCAAAGTCCATCTAGTTACACGTTAACTTAGATAACCTCTAATATTATCGACATCATTTCTATCAAACCATCAGAGATTACCGAATTTTTCCAATCTATTTTCTAATGTAACTTATCTTGCAAAATTATATGTCTAAATAGATTGATAAATATTTATCCTAAAAATAAGTTACATGGTGCTGAAGTGTATTACATTTAGAAAAATTTCCTCTTTTAATTTGCGCTGTTTATGATATCAAGTATTGTTACTAAAAGAACATTTTGGAACATTTGAAATGCGCCAAGTTCATAAATGTGAAGTTTGGAATTTAAATCTTTCATCATTTCTGATAAAAAAGTATTACGATGGATAAGATTTTAACTACTTTAAGGAATTTTACATAAACCGGATTCAAAAACTTCATCATGAAAAATTACCTTATTCAATCAAACAGGGATTACGATTATGTCGAAAGAAGCCTGCTTAAAATTTTCATAATCTCATAGTGATACAGTTTTCTGGTAAATTTTTTCTACTGAATTCTTACTTTTATTTTAAACATCCCACTTTATAATAGTTTATGTTGTTCTTTAATGTAACGACAGATATATAGACGTTCAGATGCACCTGAATGTATTTTTTCGTATATCATCTGAAAACAAAGCGACTGCAACAAGAAAAACAAAATATAGATCTGAATAGTGTGAAAACATAAGAGACATAGATGTAAAAACAACAGAAATATGATCACAAAAAGTGTAAAACATTCACTCAGAACATGTTTAGGAATACTTTATAGTCTTAATTTTCGATGTTCATTATGAATAATTCGCTATCTTTAACTTTCGATCACTTATAAGAATACATCAAATTATTCAGTTTTGCAATCTCTAAAATTCTATCTAGTAAATAAGGTTTAAATAATAGATAATAATCCTATACAACTTGTTACGAACTGGCTAATTATTCCCTTCTTACAGTTATGATTGATGTACGAATTTTGAGGATAAATGCATATGTTCAAATCATTTATTTTAAAACCATCTTTAACCTACCTAAATATACAAAAACTAACACCTGAATTCAACGAATTGCCTTCATAGTCACAAGAAGAAGTATAATCGAACATCTGCGGTGGTATGTTATTCTTAAATCCGAGAGGCCATGTTTCGCAAGTGTCTAACAAACATTCGTATTAAAAAGTTTCTCAATTAAACTTGTAGTGCCGCGATTCGTTAACCGTTTACTTCGATAACCGTTATAATTCTAAACTTAACGGCGCGTAAAATCAGAAGACAAAGGATAGCAGCAACTACAGTTTATTGTCGAATGACTCAGGTTCGGAAGCTAACAACACCTGAGCGAATATGAACGAGCGAGTGAACAGGCGAACAAGCGAAGGAAACGAACGAGGAGCAAGCGAGCGAGCGAGTAGCAAGCAATTACATAGGCAATTTATAGTCAAATTTAATAAGGGCACAGCAAAGCAAAACAAAGGCTAATAATAATATTTGTGTGCGTACATATATGGGGAGGAGTATGAGTCATCGAATGATATTTAAGCAGTCAACATTTCGGCTAGAGTGTCATGTGCTCTAGTGGTATAGCAGTGCAAAGAATATGCAAATTGTTACTATCCAAATGACAATGTCTGCTAAGTAAGTTATAAAAAAGGGCTTAACCAAAATTGGCTATAATCGAAAGTGATTGTAGGATGGTTGCTATAATCTCACATTCATATTAATTTAGAAGAAAAGTCATGATCATCTGCATCAGTATTTGAATCTCTGATTTTTCCAAAAAAAGAGAAGTCAGATTCACGGTACCTGTAGAAGGACTGGTATGAACGCTAAGACATACAGTTTGTACTACTCCTGATAATTTAGCAACAAAGGTAGGGGCAGATTAGAACCGTTTTCTATGTTTGCAATACCTGATTGTAATCCGATATTCTAAAACTTCAACTAAAACACCGGATATAAAAATTTAAATTTTTAACCAGTCAATTAGTCATACATAATGTGTACAAACGCCAGAATATTTTGTAATTACAAAACTACATTGTAAATGATTACCTTCTGTCTTTCCTAGTTTAAAGCCAATGATCCAGATGAAGGCTTAAATTCTGAAATCAAATATTCTTTAATTGAATCAATTCAAGACAATCCAGACACTGGAAATGGAAGTTCATCAACCTGTAAAAATTTAAATCGTAAATCATTAATGAACCAAAATCAATCATGTAATCTATTAGAATATCTTTATCTAAATCAAACTACTGGTAGTTTATTTTTATCAAAGGAATTACCAAATCATTTATCGAATGTAACATGTCGTCTGTGTGTTGTAGCTTCAGATATGGGTATTCCGTCATTAAATTCAACACGTTACTTTTGTTTACATTTAATGGATACTATTGAATCATCGCAATTGAAATGGATATCATCACAGACAAATAATAATGAATATTCACCGATCTACATATATACTATCACAGGAGCGATCGGTATAAGTTTAATCCTATCCATCGTATTTTTGTGTATAGCATGTACTATATGGAAGTATCCCAAATTGAAATTGAAATCAAAGATTATAAAAGAAACTAAATCTTCTGATGATAATCAAATATCAAAAATTCACTGTGTTGCTGAAAAATTAACTAATAAAGGTAAGTTACTGAATCGATATTGAAATTATTGTATGTTTTATTGTGAATAATCTATTTTGATTAACAATATAAACTTCAGTCCAAAATATATGATATTAAGCTGATGATAAACTAACTTCTGATAGAAGAAATCTTCATTTTATTGCTTTTACAAGAAATAGTTTGTTAGAAAACAGAACTTATAGTTCTGGTTTTATTTTAAACGGATTTCATAACCGCTATGGTTGAAAATCAACCTAACTGGAGCTCTTTAAGGTAAAGCAGGGAGTTGAGTATGAGGTTAAAAACCGCATACGTAAAAAATAAACTTGCTAAAGGAGGCACTAACCACAAATACTTATTTAAGCGATTTATACTCTACCCTGGGAGTTGAAGGGTCATTATGTGGAAGATTTATGATGCCTCATGGTGACACCCAAGACTCTTCCGAATTCATGAGGCTGATGCCTGCTCTCACAACCAGAACAAACATTAACATAGGTACATGGAATGTCCTCACAATGTTAAAGACTAAGGGGACCACTCAAGTAGCTTCGTAAATCAAAAAAGATTCAACCTGTCGTTGCTTGATATAAGGAAAACTCACTGAACCTAAGCTGGGTAGAAAGGGCTCCAGTCGGAAGTGATCTTGAAGATAAAATCGCCTCACACACACATGGAGTTCCATTGATGCTGTCCGGAGAAGCACGAAAAGCACTTACAGGATAAAAATCTTATGGATCCAGAATGATCAAAGCGTCCTTCAGAACGAAGAAGGATGTGATTACAACGGATGTCATTCAGTACTGTGCGCTCACCAATGATAGTAGGGGAAACGATAAGGTCTGTTTTATGTGAGTTTACAGTTCATCTTAGACCAATACCCAAGAAAGGACCTTATCACCCTGATGAAGGCCTAAACTTCAAAGTCGAGACTAATAGTACCGAGTATAAACGTATTATGGGGCGATATGGACCGAGAGAAACGAAAATGGTGAGAGACCTGAAAATCTGTATACTTTCAACAAAATAATTAAAGACTCGATCATTTTCCCTTACAAATCTATGCACAACGCTGAGTTTCACTGCACAACACTACCTTGAACATAGCTGCATGATTTGGACCTTGTGGATGAATAAGCCCTTGCTATCACACACATAGAAACAAATGCAGATGAAAACAGCTAAGGTAGAGACGGCTGAATTAACAGTAGACCTCAGTGACTAAATCCCACTTATTGGAGCAGAAATGAAAGAAGTGAAAGCTTTTTCGAACATGGGCAGCACCATTGATAAACAAGGAGGATCTGATACAGATTTGAAGGTATAGATCGGCAAAGCTAAGGCATTATTTCTACAATTTAAGAATATCTGTAGTTCAAAACAACTGTCATTCAAGAATAAAGTCAGAATCCTCTATACAAAGGTTAAAATAGTGATATTGTCAGGAGTTGAAGTTTTAGAAACTGCTACCACCATTACTATAAGTGTTCACGTATTTACAAACAGCCGTCTGTGCAAGATGTACCAGACCCATTAACCATAGACAATTAGTAACAACCTACTTTGAGACAGAACAAAACAGATAACGGTTGAGGTTAAAAAAGAACACGAACTAAGTAGAACCCACTCTGTGTAAACTATTAGACAAAAGGAAAAGATGCAGATCAAAGAACAATTAGTACCGCGAGATCAAGATCTTGAATAGCACTAGGCATAAACTGCATACGAGAGCTCTGGACATAGCTGGTTAGAAACCCCAGGCCGGCACCCTATGCCCTCACGACGAGTAATAGGTTTAATTTAGTGTGGTTGGAAATTACTGGGTAGGGATGACACAACTTTTAATTGCTAACCACTTTTCAATAGGTCTCCAACTTTCAATCGTGAGAACTAAATTCCGGATGGAGCCGTCTGTATATGATATTAGCGTTTTCCCGAACAATGAACAAAATTGAGAAAATACCTGGTTATGAACTAAAAACCTAACCCTCATTCATCCAATAGTTTTGTTGCCTTTTTAATGTCGATAGCATTATGGCTAAATCAGTGTTGTCGGGCAAATCAGAACTATTGTGTGTCAGTATCCGATGTCTGTAAACAAATTAAGATCCAGTCAGCTCTGACATCAAGTCGTTTATTCCATAGATCTGTGAGTTAACAATAGGGATATTACTAAATTCAAGATGGAAATAAGTCCCATTCTCTCCTAAAACCGTGTGTTCTACATGGACGATAAAACTAAGGGTTTAAAAGAGAATAAATATTCAAGGCATTTGGTTGATAAGTGCAAAAGTAACTTGATGGCTTAAAATTTCGATTTACAAAAATTTATTCACAGGCTAAAAACCTCAAGTAAAACTAACCTGGCTATAGTTACTGTGTTGTATTGACAATTAGTATTAACATGATTCCAACAATAAATTAGGTAGACTTTTTCTCATGGAATTAGAAGAACTGGTATGGAGGCATAACTTTAACATTTGTGATTGATTACCCACTAATTAAGACACTCGTTCAAATGACTGTGAAAAATTATAACTAATAGAATTTGATGGCAATCAGTCAGTGTACTTTTTCAAAATTTGCAAATGACTAATCTAACGGTAAAAATTCATAGCACTTTTGGACTTACAACCATTAGGTTTACAACGATATCAATAGCAATAAGAAATAAATTCCTACTTGTTGAAAGTTATTTGAGATTCAGAAACTAGAACTACAACCTAAACCTAGGATTTTCAAAAGTAGCATAATTTTCCCGAACCAGAGAGTTCTTGTTATAAAAAGCATTGGTGAACAATCAGTGTCCAGTGGCTTTGAATTTTTTGATACACCGACTCAGTATGCTAATGTTTCATCATTTGAAACTTAATTCGTTGAGATTGGGGAATGTCTCATAAAATAATTATAGGCTCGGTGGCTTTACTCATTTTATGTGTAGTATGAAATTAACAATAGACAGCTGAGTAGATAAATCTTTGCCGATTACATCATGTAGTATTCATCACTTACTTGATTATAATATCTACTAAAGGTTATCGTACTCTCTGAAGGATCCAAAGGTTTTGAGCTAAAAACCCTCAAATTTGGACGAAATAGCTTATCCTAATACGTGAAAATTACAGTAGGATATGAAGATAGTACTAATTATGAAGAACTACTAACAAAGTATGGAAAATCAGTTTTCCGAACAGCTGTTTTATTAGTGCGGAATAACATTTTGCTTTGAAGCGCAAACTATTGTCCCGATTTAATAAAGAGTAAGATATCGAGATCAAGAACCGATGTAAGTTAAACAACCTTTAAAAACTTGTAGGGTACTTAACCACCGTTATGTCCTAGTATGGAACACCTGAGAGGTACTTTTCTACGACTGAAAAGCTGTGAACTCACTTATTTCCACTAAGCACTGAAACACTCATCCTCTCATCAGGTATCACTGTATTTTGGACAACTAATTGTAAGTTAGTGGATTACATATAGTTGCCCTATTATTAATATTAATATATTAAACTATCGCTATGCATTTACTATTATTTATCCAGAGAAATACAATACCATCATATGTACAGAAAATGAATGGGCTAACATGGGTTTCAATCATATAACAACTAATCAATCATTGTATTTCGACAGAAATGAATATAATCAATGTCCAGTTGAAAACCGATACCCTCTCAATTCCTTGCACGAACTAGTCTTTGAATCACTTCAAACTAATAATAATTATTATTATAACAATGTACCGAAAAAACTACCTAATGAACAGAATATTTATTTAAATCCTAATTATACTTTAACTTATTCATCATTACCTCAAGAATAAAAAATTTATTAAGTGATTCAGCATAGTTATAGAAATAGCAATAAACATTGCATAACCATACGGGAGGAACGACAATATACAATTCAAAATCTATTATTTACCACATAATACATATATGATATTATTGTACAGTTTTTAAAATGAACTTCATTGCTGAATTAACTACTTTTGAAAATAACTACACATAAAAGAAATATTGAGAAAATTTTATTTTTATAACAATTTTTAATAAAAAGTTGGAGAAGAGAATGGAATGGAATATACTGCATTTAGCCTGTCCTCTGCGGCTTAAAATGAGACTATGCTCAAGTCGAAGTTTATAACTTAATGACGCTAAGTAAAGTAATCTTTCAAAATACTGACGAATAACCAAATCAGACAAATATTTCAGTTGTATGATACTAAAATCGTTTGTACCCAACCAGTATTATCGAATGATGCTTTTCTGTAGATGTAAGATTTTCAGAGTAATAAAATTTTCGATACTATGATGGATCTCGATTGGTAGTGAACGATCTGTTAATATATTCAGTTTCTACGACGAGTCAATGCAATGAAGTGGTGGCTTATTAGTTAGTGTTCGCTTTACAAATACTAGGTAGGTTGAAACTCCGTTCTACCCACTACAGTTTGCGTAACCAATTTAAACTTGCATAACATCCAAATTATAAGTCTTAAAAGCGATAAACCAGTGGTTTAATAATGAACTAATTGTTTCCAGTTGACTTTACAACTAATTAACTATAATTACGTGAAATAAGAAGTTCCAAATATAACTGATTTACACTATATTTAACTAGTTTATTCAGTGTTGTGATCAGAGATGATTTAGATTATATCTAATTCTGATGAGAAAATTTGAGAAACATACTAATTGCCACCTTTATAAAAAATAAAGAAATGGCTTTGACTTTCATATAGGAAAGAGTTACTTTGACATGATCCAAATAATCACTGAATATAGGTGGTATGGTAGGTGGAATGGTTCAACTTAAATACAGAAGGATTGGGACACTAATCAATATTTTCTTGAAGTCTAATATGTTTTTATGAAGCTGAAATTCATAATACAACAAAATACCGGACCGTGTGGTAGGTTTTGAAGACTACAAATACTACATGGTTACCTAAATCTCAAATGTAGATAGAAAGGAATTTAAATGTGCTAATAAACAGCTAAACATGGAGTACGTAAATCATCGATCTACACATACATTGTCAAATCTGTGGATTCAGTGAGCGCTCAACCGAAAAGCAATGTCTCAACAGCGATAAACGACAAGTCCATTGCAAAAAATTTTTACTGGTCATATATACAGTTGATAAATTTAATTCCTTTAAAGTATCCTTCATTAATAGCTGATAAACATGAGACAACAAATCATATATTTACGTATCAAGTATGCAAGATTGATTCATCATAAAATGTTCAACCACTTCAAAATATTGGAAGAAATATATTTATTCACAAGTTATACAAATGAATTGTTGATTAAAGAATCGATTACAATATGATAATAATAATAGAGTATAGCCATTACTGACTAAATCCATATATTTCTTGACGAACACGATTGGCTGTAAGACCAGTTGGACTGTCTAACATTTCTCGTTGAATTTTCTTACGATTATACCACAATGGTAAATTAACTCGAGTTTGATAATCAAAATCGAATACATCAGGTTCAATCTGACAAATACGATGATATACAAAGCATAAATCTCGAAATTCTGACATTGTCAACTGTAAATTAATTGTTTGGAGGAAATAAAAAAGAAGACATTTATTAAATATATGATTCATGTGTAACATCTTACTTACTTATTTACTTACGCCTCTTACTCTCAATGGAGCGTAGGCCGCCGACCAGCTTTCTCCAACCCACTCTGTCCTGGACCTTCCTTTCTGATTCTATGCCACTTTTGTTCATTCTTCGCATGTCTGTTTCCATTTCTCGGTGTAATCTGTTCTTTGGTCTTCCTCTCCTTGTTTGGTCTTGAGGATTCTAAGTGGAGGGCTGGCTTGTGACGCAGTTGGGTGCTTTCCTTAATGTATGTCCTATCCACTTCCAGCACTTCTTCCTCCTCTGGATGGAATCTGGTTTGTTGTCTCCCACAGTATGTTGTTGCTGATAGTGTCTAGCCAACGGATCCGAAGTATTTTACGTAGACAACTGTTAATAAACACTTGTATCTTCTGGATGATGGCTTTCGTAGTTCTCCAGGTTTCCACCCAATATAGTAGAACTGTCTTGACATTTAGGTTGAAAATTCTGATTTTGGTGTTGGTTGACAGTTGTTTTAAGTTCCAGATGTTCTTCAGCTGTAGATGTGCTACTCTTGCTTTGCCGATCTGCGCCCTGACATCTGCATCAGATCCACCGTGTTCATCGATTATGCTGCTCAGATATGTAAAGGTTTTCACATCCTTCAAAGCTTCTCCGTCAAGTGCAATTCGATTGATGCATGCTGTATTGTATCGGAGAGTCTTTCTTTTCCCTTTGTGTATGTTGAGACCTACTGCTGCTGAGGCTGCTGCTACACTGGTTGTCTTCTCCCGCATTTGTTGTTGCGTGTGTGATAGAAGAGCCAGATCATCTACGAAGTCTAAATCGTCCAGCTACATCCTAAGCTGTCCAATGTATTCTGTGCTTCCCTGCAGATGTTGGTGTCTTCATGATCCAGTCGATCACCAGGAGAAAGAGAAAGGGTGAGAGTAAGTAACTTTGCCTGGCACCGGTCTTTACTTCCAACGAGTCTGTGAGCTGTTCTCCACGCAAGATTTGCAGTTTAGTCCATCATAAGAACTTCGTATGATGTTGGCTATCTTCTCAGGCACGTCGTAGTGTCTAAGAAGCCTCCATAGTGCCGTCCTGTCCACACTATCAAATATTTTCTCGTAGTCAACGAAGTTGATGTAAAGTGGTGAATTCCATCCAACTGACTGTTCCACAGTGATCTGTAGTGTAGCATCATACTGTATAAACTCAGTAAGGATTCTTGTGTCTTCATGATAAATAACTATAGCGATGGAATGTGGATTCAAATCGAGACCTCAGAGTTGAAAGTCAACCCACCAGAACAATGGCCCATAGCTCCAAGTTATTAGAAACACTAAAAACCTTTGACCCATAGGTAATTTAGTGGATAGTGCATTGGAATTGAAACTTCTCCGTAACCCTCCAAATATATGACTAATCAAATAACGTGATATAGTTGTTAAATCTGAATACCTTATTTTTTACTGTCAAACCATAAATAAAAGCATGACGGCACAATAATATCATTTTATATTCTGAAAAATAAATACACATTAGACCCTCGAATAATTTACTCAAGAAATGCATAAGACCACATTTATAAAGACTATACATTATTGAAATTGTGGTTTATGTTTTAATGACTGTGTTAGCGGGACATAGATTAGATTAAAGCATGTTCCATGAATGATTGCGTTCGTGAACATTGATTGACTAATTCTTATCCCATCAGCGCTAGTCGATACTTAGAGAAGACTCTAGAATCTTGTCATGTAAAATCTATAAATATACTAACGTATCTCATATTGTGCTTCTTACTTCCATCTACCCTTGTTATTTGGAATATAATTTCTTTCCTGTTCGACGGTGTTCTGATTTGGGAACTTGTCGAGCGAATTGGTGTCCAAGAATACTAAGCAATAGGAATAGCCGGGTCCTAATAAGAGAATTTATAACAGACTGATTATTTATCATCAGAAAAATCATTATAGTTTGAGGAGTCATCACTAAGAGGACCAACTGTGAAAATTCAGAGAAACTGATCATAACATAAGAAATTAAGCTGAAAGTGTTCATTACTGACGTTGATTTCAGAAAAATTCATTACAAAGCTCTGTAACTTGGCATACTACCATCAAAGTAACACAGAAATTTCATCAATGTTTTCTGTGGTAAGTGATATCGAATATATATAATTCATGCAAGTTGAATGTTAGTAAAGTCAACAAAAAGAAATCGGCTGGTCACCTAGAGGTTTGAACGAAAGTAAGAGGATTGATTGCTGAATATATTATTACAATTACGACCATCGCTAGCAACTTCATGAACTAGAGGTATTGAAAATAAACCGGTAATACTTGGTAGATCATTCAGGAAGCAGTGGTTAGAGATTATCTTTCCCGCAGTGATCGAGATAGGTTTTGATGGTGTGGTATGACAAATGTAAGCCACTTAAGACCCAAGGATATGTAAACACAAACTATATAAAATAAAAGAACTACCAAACTAACCTGTATACACTGTTTGGCTGGTTGCACACCAGCTTCTTTAAATAATTGAATAACCAGTTCAGGTCTATTAGAAGGGAACAATGTTTCAAGACACCGAACTATTTGCTTTTGTCTACATGGAAAATAAGTGTTTTGAAATCGAAATTACTATTTAATCTATAAAAGGATGAGATAATAATATAGGCTTAACTAGTATTCATCCTTATTCTGAGTAATGATGTGAAGTTGGTTAGAAAATATTTCATTCCATTAAGTAGTGACATATATAATGTGATTGACTACAATTTTCAAAGTATTTATCATCTGGACTTTTCTCAACAACAAGAATTATACGTTAAACTTGATAATTTAACTTATTTTCGTTTTTTTTAAAAACTAAACGTAGCATACATTTAATAAATATATATTACAAAGTGATTAAAATGAACGGTGTTCGTATTACGACCAGGCAAGAAAACGGGTAGTTATTTTATGGTGTAACTATAAACAGAACAACAAGAACCATTATAAAATTGACAGGAACAATAACTTTTGTTCACCGTACTTTCTATGTCATTTCCCCTATATTGTGCATTAGCGACGTTATGACTGGATGGAAAAGGTAGTGGGATGATCAGTCTATGAGATGGTGCACTAGAATTAAAGACAAATGTAATCGAAAAAAAACTTGTTAGTTTATTGTTTATTCAAAAATGGCGATTCACAGCTGCGTACAAAGTTATACTTCGTAAATGGGTTACAATAAATCAACCAAAGTTCGGAAAAAATTACAATTCATTGATTCTGATGAAAGAACTATAGTGGCCGAAAGTAGTGAAAATTGATACTAGTAAATACCGGCATCGCAGGGAGTAGACATAACGATCATTTATCTCTGAGTTTTAATTTCTTTCAGCAAACACTTTGAAAACAGACTATATTACATTGCAATCAGTAAACTTGTACAGAAAAGTTGGATTATTATATATGCATCATTATTCTGGAAGAACAAATTTCAATAAACTGTAACATAAGAAAATATGTGGTCCTTACCTAAAGTGAAATGCCTGACGTACCAATTTTTCAACATACGGGTACGGTACAGGAATAAGCGGTTGCTTTAAAGGAATTAGACGAACAACACCAACGTCTACTTTTGGTGGAGGAACGAAAGCAGTACCTGGGATATCTTTCATGTATTTAACCTATTACAATTTGAAGATTAAAAATGAACATATTATAATATATTAAAACAACGCGAATTTGAACCATCAAACAAAAAAGGCCAATTTAACTTTAGGGATAATTAATAAAACTGTACTGAAAATAAGGAACTACGAACAGCAAGTCAAATAATTACAACCATAGAACCGTACAAAAAACAATGAAGTATATGACTAAACAACGCTCTGTATGTTTGTATTTTAGACTATTGAGTCCTATTGAGTTATAACTAGTGGCATAACTTGATTGTTTAAAATCTCGGTAGGAAGAATAAGGTTAAAACTTGTTGCCAAACCGATTGAAAGCCAAGTGTCCAGATAAATTATCATACACACACCAGACAGTGCTCAAGCAGTTTAAAGTGACTAACTGAACACAATTTCAAAACACACCAAACAAAACTACTAACGAAAAATAAATTTATACTGCCACTCAATAATCACCAGACGGCTATTCGTCAGCTTTAGAATTAATACGCATTAGATATATTTAATTTCTTTGTAGATTTTAATCTAAACTTCATGGTCTTGTTGCCAGAATATTATAGTTGAGTTACTACCAGAATTTATCCATTGATATTTTTTAATTCACGATATATTGAAACCGTACTTAATTATCAGCTGCTTGTGATTTTTACTCTTACCTCAGATTTCTAAAGTTAGGAACAATCAACTATTAAAGCTTCAGAAAATAATTCAAATGTTAGGATGAAAGGTAATGTACGTAACACTAAATCTTGAGCTGTAATAGAACTGACCAGTGGTCTTTGATTTATGGGTGTTGCTGCATTTGACCTCGGTTTTTAACGATAGTCTATTAATTGAATTAATTAAGTTCATAAAACCAGCAACATAAATCTTAAAAGAAATTTTATGAATATTATATCCAATGAATAACAGAAAATAGACTTTTACTTATATATACAAAACAAGTAATGAGTCTCTTACACTGAATTCGAATTTTATAGGCAATTATATAATAGTTATATAATAAATACTAAACAAATATCCATGAAGATACCGAATAAAAAGGAGAGCAGCGACGTAACCCTAACGAACACCATTAGAGTCCAACAATTGTGGTGCGAGTGGGTAGTTAGCTCATACTCAATAGTGTTCGATTAAAGACACTTCACAAAGTTTATGTACCTTTTTCAAACACGTTTCAATGATAAAAATTGCCATACAACCTCGTGATAAACGAAGTGGAACGCTCTTCCAAAATCAATAAAAACAACTACAGCTGAGTATCAGTAGGTATGTCTTCCTCAAAACTTGACGAAGAAAGAATATTCAGTCAGTACATTTCCATTCAGATCTGAAAACACATCGTTTTTCACCAATTTATTGTTTTATGCAATAAATAAGTGTCAGGTGATTGTAGACATCAGTATTTTAGATGCTATATTAGTTAAACTCATTTTTCCTTGCTGATTCCTCCTCTTCCTCACAAGAGGAATCAGCAGAAGATAACTAATAACAAAACAAGACTAAGATGAAAACAGTACACGAGAACCTTTACACAAATAAAATCCTTACGTCGCAGTATGCTTGTGACATGACAGATAAGCGAGAACGCTGTTCATCCCATACATCCGCAGCAAGTCGTTCAGCAACTTCTTTCTGAAAAGTCAATGTCAAAGGGACTCGTCCATATCGCCAAATTCCTCGTCGCTCAGCAATATCATGAAGCCATTGAGAAATCAAAGGAGTAGAAATGTTGAATGGTAAGTTTCCAATCACACACAAGCGTGGTGAACTTATTTTTTCCAGTGCAGTTTCATTTTGATTTTCTGATGTAGATTCTACTAAATTTGAGTTTACCACCTCAGGTGACTCGTCCCATGCTCCTGCACCAGTCATAGAACTGATGGGAAAAATACCTTCACAATTAAATTTTAGAATATCCTGCAAATCATATATACAAAACAGAATTCGAAAACAATCACATTATCAAACGGTAGGGATATATCAATGAACAAAAAATCATATTTTTCCGCTAAACAGTCCAAAACAAGCACTATCCTAGCACTAACTGGTTCAGCGGGAACTAAAAACACCACCCCTATAGTTAGACAGTAATGTAAAACATATGTACCTCTATTGTTTATTTATTTAAACACAAAAATATTGGTGGAAGGGGGCACCAGAAAAATATGCGCCACACAAAATAATGAAAATGGGAAGAGAAAGGGGTAAGATGCATATAAAAAAAGAGTAATGGTGGGGGAACTGAATGTACAACCAGAGGAGCTCTCTCAGTTAGGAAATTTATAGCCACTCTTTATGAAGAAAGTAGAAGAAGGTTACAGCAGGACCGCCACTGGCTTCTATTCTGAGCCATATCTGATAACGTCTCTAGCCACTGTGTTACACCATCTCTCGGACCGCAGCCAGGGAGTAGTGAAGGACCAACAGAAGCTAGCCCTTTGCAGCTTTCTTTCATACCACTAAACCATGTAATACACTGACCACCTCTCCGCTTTTTCCAACCAGTCCCAGAGTCGGCAAATAATGAACGACGTGGAAGCCTCTGGGACGACTTTCGTAAAACATGTCCAAGCCATCGAAGTCGGTGTTTCAAGATAGTGACACCAATTGAATTATCGTCCCTGTGCCCGAACACACGATGCCGAACCTCTGCATTACTAACATGGTGTTGTCACTGAATGTCAGCAATCCTTCGGAGACAACGATGATCGAACACAGAGAGACGTCTAACATCCTCAACTCGGAGAGGCCAGGTTTCACAAGCATAGAGCAAAACTGCCCCCACCGACGCGTTGTAGATCCGACCTTTTACAGCCAGACTAACATCATGAAGGCGCCAAAGATGGCCCAGATTGGCATAAGCCGCTCTGGCTTTCATTATACGTGCATCGATCTCATCACTGACGCCACTACACCAGCACTTATGCAGCTACCTAGATACACGAACTTCTCAACTACTTCAATATGCTCGCCATCCAGGGTGAGTACAGGATGAGAATCCTGCCAGTCTTGTAGGAGTACTTTGCACTTGGAGGGTGCAAAGCACATACCGTACCTGCGGACACTGATTGTCAACTGATTAAGTGCGGATTTCATGCCTTGGGCATTATCGCACAGTAAGACAATATTATCCGAATACTCAAGGTCGAGAAGTCGTTCTCCAGGCAACAGATCCACACCGCCATTACTTACATCCATCAGAGCTGTTTCCAGAATGTCATGTACCTCTAGTGACCTTAATTATTTAGTTAACTGACAGGAAGAAGTAAACATCGCCTATATATATATATATATATATATATATATATATATATATATATATATATATATAACTTTAGGAACACAAAGTGGTTAAACCAAAAAGTGAATTGTTCGCAAACACTTAACAATCTACAACTAAGAAAGCTGCACGTGCACATCAGAAATGTAACACTGATGTGACTGAAAAGGTATAATCGTTATATTCAAATCCTAAAGCTTTCGTTGAATAATTCGGAAGACTGAATTTTTATACAAATTCTAAAGAGACTAGTTATTTTACGAGTGAATGCTAAATAGGAGTAAATAACAGACAAGTTACTGTAACAGGTTCACCACCTATGAATTGGAATATTTTCAGGAGGTAGAATCCTCGAACATAACTGTTAATAAGGATTCCAAGGAAATTTCAGTATAGTGATGAAATATTCTGATACCGATAAACTAATTTTTCACACAAACTGAAAGGCTATTTATTTTGTGATGTATAAAACTTAAGTTTGGAAATCATCTTAATTCGTTAAGAGAACCACAATCAATGGGATGAGTAAATACTTCTAAGATACTTCAAAATTTTGGTTAAAAAGAAAATTACAAAGAAACCCGAGATCACATAATGATAAATGAATCCAAATGTACCGGTAAAATTCACTTTATAAAAAAATATTTTGTCGCATGAGTTCGGACAAAAAATATTATTGTAAATGATTGATTTGACACCATAAAAGTCATCAACTAGTAATTTTAGATAAAATAATAATAATTCTACGATTTGACAGAACATAAAATTATGGTCACAATAGATTTTCTACATTTGAGGGTATAAACAGTATTATTTTACTTTATATATTCTAGAAAATAGAGCGTCCCATAAAGGTGTGTCGGTTCGCGTAGTTACACTTTATAAGGGAAAAAGAAAGTAAACGAAAGTGGAAAGATATTGAAAACAAACATGGAATAAGAACTAGGAGCAAATGAATTGATAAAAAGTTTAAAATCAATAGCAAGAAAATGAATGCATGTGTGAAATTGCGACTGATTATGAGCTGTATCGTATAAGACTATTTTGGCAGTTTGCTCTTATAAGAGTAGGGGTAAAAAGGTACATACCAATAAGGAGAGTTAAAAATACAACAAAGTAATGCCATTAATATAAAAACTGATTAAATACAGGAAATCAAGAAGGAAAATTGAAAAATTCGTAAACATTATGTAAATATTAGTTACATTTTTTATTTTTATAATGACACCGTTTAATGTTCAGATATACGAATACAAATCATGTGCTAGTTGCTGTTAATAGTTTAGGATTGGCCTATTTACATGATTTCTTAGGACCTTTCTAATACGCGTTGATACGTCCCGGTACTTCCTTCATACACGTTATTGCCGCGTCCCGACGAGCTGTTCGATTTTCAATTCATTTGACTTGTGTTCCTCATTTTACAGCATCAATTAATTCTCATTTGTTCCAATGAGCAATGCCAATGAGTTTATTAAATCCTCTATGCTAACCTTCGACAGTTCTGTTCGTCTTATGATCTATAACAGAACTGTAGACGTTTCACTGTACAATTCAAAAACCGATTCGTTGCGGCATACATATTTTGCTGATCTCCCGATCCAAGTGTCTTCAAAATATTTTCTTGAAACTTAAACTTCTTCAATTTTTGCGTAGAATAGTGACTTCATTGGACTGACAAATGCAATTATGACATCTGCTAGCAGTGCAAAAGCTAATATGCCCAAACAATGGGTCTGAAAATTGAAATTTCTATCTGCCGCATAACATTGTTGATAGCTTTTTGATCGCCGTAGTCTTCCCCATGTACAATGGCCTAGATGGAACAAGCAACCTTGCTGTACTACATTTGAATATCCCTACAGAAATGCTGGTAAAGCTTTGTTTGCAATCAGTAATGAGTGTTGGTGAATTTAACCTCGGATTCAATCCGTCCAATTTTTTGAAGGTGTGCATATACGAATTGGTGTTTATCGTTCACCAGAATATTAACCACGGGAATAATTATGTTGAATTTCATAGCATGAATCGTCTAGACCTAATTAAACAAAAGGGGTAAGGTATTGAGTGTTCCTTCGGCATACCAACTTAGTTAAACAAGGGAACCTGACTTTGTTGAGGGGGTCCTTGTAATGTCGTACCAGTCAAGATATCTGTATCACAGTCTGGGCTGGTACTGAAAAGGATAAAACAGAGGGTGCCGTAGTTGGAATATGAGTTCTATTAACTCATCCAATTGATCTTTGATTTTGCTAATTACTTATGTAGCATTAAACTTGGCTGTTTTATAACAACTTTATGCTTCGCGTGATGGCGCGAATTGTACTTCCCCGTACGGTATTCCGTACATCTACAAATCTTCCTTTCGTTAGACACTTTCTCTTTGCAAAAGGAATAGTCAGTCATTAAAAGGTTTGGCACTCTTGTTACACTCTATACATTCTGATTCGGTTCCAATAAATCATAAAAAGTATATAACCTAGAATGTAGTCAGTTGTCGTTATATTTAATTGTATGGTTCTGAACTCCAATTAAGCATTTCATTTTAGAAAGAATAAACACTAATTTGTTTTATATACATTAACATTGACTATAATTAATTAATCGTAAGTTAATTTAACATATTGACACTTCATCGCTTGCAAATGTACTCTACATTCAATTAAATCATTTTAAAATGAACTGCTAGTTATTTTTTATTACCTTGTTTTTATCAATATGCACCCTTTAAATACTCGCTCTTGATTTATTAAATTTAACATACTAGTAGTATTATTTTATTGCACTAAGTCGCCCTATAGATATTCACATTTATTGAGTTGCCAGTTCCTTTATTGAAGGATACCTACCCTGACACCTCAGTAACAAACAAGACAACCGTCTGAGGAATTTCAAAAGATGACAGCTTCGGGATAAAAGACCAATTCGTATTATAGTAAAAGAATGGGGTCAATGTTTGCATCAAAAATGAAATGTGGGGAAAGTGTGAAGTACTGAAGACTTAACCAATAATATTTAAGAAATACTTTTGACAAAAACGGGATGATGTAATCAGCTTTCAGTCATATTGTTTGGGTGACTGATAACACCTGGCTACTAAAATTGAAGTATGTGGAGAAAGGTTTGATCCTAAAAACTACTGGTTGAAAGACTTTATTGATTACTATATTGCCGTATTGTATGCGACATCCTATCGTGATTCCAGTCCTGGGAACGTATTTGAGTTCAGAGCCGACAGTAATGTACTTAGGGGAATGCCACACCTCAGCAGTTAACAGTTAAACGTAGTTACGAACGTTGTTATAAATGCAGAAAAAATCGGTAGATTTCTTCAGGGTAAACGTAAGTTTGTCCATAACATAATCTCCAGTCCTAGGCTTTATAACTATCCCGTTTTACCGTCGTGTATGGATCATTTGTCTTTGAAACTTTCACATACCACATAAGTGTAGCTATTTACTCTACATCACTCGAATAAGATTTCGAAAGTAAACAATTTACCCAGCATACTTGAGATTCCACAGAAATATTTCTATACGGAGCACATCTAAACACATCGTATTTGGAAGCAATAACTGCACTTTTGAAAGGCATTCCAATCGCAATCGCTTGTGTGGTGTTCGATTGAATGATGCTG